CATTTCAAGTTTGAATTTTAGTTTGGTTTTAGGAGAAAAAAACTCTACTATAAAGAAAGGTTGATGGAAATTTCAAATCCCCAAAGTCGATGCAAAGAAAAGAAACCACACAGTTCCATTCGGAGGTATCCGAGTTGGAAAGTCTGATTATTGCTATTGCTTTTCCCCATGCAACCAATTGAGCAGCACCAAGTTCAAGGTACAGCCTGCTCTAGCACTGCCAACCCTGCATCTTTGTTTAAACATTTGTACCCCTTTTGCCCTCCCTGCTCCACCAGCAATAGAAGCAAATATGGATTTCAGTGGAATTCTTGAGTCAACAGTGTTTTATTAAAGACGACCCTATCGTTGTGAAGAAGACACCACAATCCTAATTACTTCAAGTTAGGAAAAGAAGGAGTGAAAAGTCCACCAATTCCACCGAGTGTTCCTATAAGGTCTGATACTAAGCAGCATAATCCAGGCAATCCATCATCTGGCAGGAGACCATGCGCGCTTCCCAAATACTTCACAAAAAAGGAAATGCGATCACACCCCGCTCCCAATTCCCAATCTTCTGTAAAAGCAATAGAAATCAAACATCTGGGCTGGTTGCGTGCTGGGATTTGGGTGACATTGTGTAACGTGGGAACAGCACCAAAAGTAATCAACAAAATTATCTCCTTGTAAATCACTGCAGTCCAGCTACAATTCCTTTATGTATTCTCTCGCTTTCTCCACGTTTCCCAGCTATGTAGGTTGAATAAGAAACAAAGACCTTTGCAATCCAAAGCCACAGTTACACCAAGAGGACAGAAAACCCGCACCCCAGTAGAGACTGACCTGAATCGCCCCGCACCACACGGTTGCATTTTTGTCTGTATATAATGCACTCGGAACATTTCCTTCCAAAATTGCCTATGGATGCATTTCACTTTTAAAGAAAATACAGAAAGAATTAGCATTGACACTGCACCCCATGAATACTAATGAAGCATCTCCCACCGGCTGCAGCAAGGGAGGGATTGCATTGACACTTGCTCCTTTTGCAAGCTCGGCGGGGGACTGGTGACAGCCTGAGCAGGAGCTCCCCAGGGAGAGCTGGGACTTGAACTCGAGGGGGGTTAAGGCACACTGACTGCTTGAGGAGATGCTGTCTGCCAACTTAAAACAAAGAGGAATTTGGGAGGTAGAAAAGACAGGGTGCCCAGAGAAGCTGTGGCTGCCCCATCCCTGGCACTGTTTAAGGCTAGGTTGGACACAGGGGCTTGGAGCAACCTGGTCTAGTGGAAGGTGTCCCTGCCTATGGTAGAGGGTTACTGGATGAGCTTAAAGCTCTCTTCCTACCCAAATCATTCTGTGATATTATGTAAAGCCCTGGCATGGAACTAGACAGCAACACATTTCATCAACACATTTCATCATAACTGTGAATTAAATGAGGTATTTTCCTATATAAAGGTGTTTCCCCATGTGCCTTGTCTGCATCCCTGCATAACTCACCCTGGCTACCCTCAGCCTCTGAATCTGTGGCTGAGAGAGATCACTCTTCCACTCCTGGCTTAAATCCATCAGCCTGTCACTGCAAAATGCCCTGAGCTTCACCCAGCAATGGCTCCATCTGATGAGTGGAGTGATGGATAACCCTGTTCTGTAAAGCACACAGGAACCCTATGGTATTAATCCAAGGGTTGCCCTAGTAAGGACTGAACTGGGGCTTGACCTGGTTTAGGATGGCTGCACTGGAGACTTCAGATGTGTTGGGATTTTGCCACTGTTCCTTTCCACCCTCTCCCACAGCACATGGATGAACCCGTCACACATAACTCTTCCACGGGGCTTGAGCAAGGGCTGTAGATGGCATCTAGTTGCCACAAGATGATTAGTTGGGCTTGATCAGCCTTGGCCAGGAAAGCAAAGCTTTGCGTGCATGACTCCTTTGGGGTTTATTTGCTTCTTAAGTAATGAAAATTAAACCCCAAGCTGAAATCCAGATGATTTCAGTGGAGACGGAAGGATGGGAAGAGAAAAAAGAGGTTTTCTAGGAAACCAGCCTGATCAGAGAACCTTTCTGAGCCATCTCCTCCAACAAAAAGGAGTTTTGCTGCTGGACATGCTCCCGCATCTCATTCCGTGTCCCATGTCACAAAACTAACTCGGGCAGACAGCTCAAGGACTCGTACGGCTGAGATCTGCAGGAAGAGGCTTTGGGGGGATAAGGGGAGACATGCCACTGCTTTGCTTCTGCTCCAATCCCGCAGCGTTCCCTGTCATCCCCGCTGCTCTGCTTGTCTCGCCATGACTTCCATAGGGGACGGACACGAATGCAGGAGGACACTGCAAGAAGAGCTCCACAAACTGCATTAGCTTTAAAAAGCAGCTATCCTGCCTTTCAATCAAGCAAGCCTGAATACCTAAATAATAAAATCGCCTTTCAAGATGATGTGATCAAAAGTGACATAAGAGAAATAAAGGGGGGGGGGGAAGAAAAATAAAGATTAAAAAAGAGATACGGGTTGTCCTGGCAACGGGCATCCCTTTCCAGCACTCCAAGATTACTGGATGAAATAGATGATTCCTAATTAAATTCATAAAAGGTGGCATTTATCAGAGGGTGACCACTTGCTATTTTGCTGTAGAAATGGTTATTTTCTTACAAGTGAAGGGTTTAATAATGGGCTGGCTTTGATCTAAACGCAACACTTCCAATCTCCTTTAATCGAGCAGGGGATTTCTTCTTTCTTCAACTTTAAACAAGAATAACAGGAATTGCGCATAAAGCCTGCATCAGTCCCGCAGATTAAGAAGAACCGGCTGTGAACAGCCTCTCACACGCAATGATATCATTCCACTGTAATTATCCCGGATTTATAACACTCCGGGTGAGATAAAAATCACACACTCACTAAACTGAAACCTGAACCTCGCCGAAAACATCAGCATTTCTCCCAGCCTTGACAGGCTGAGGACTTGGTGCCAATGAGCCAACTGGCAACCTGCAGTCCTGCCCATCAGCCTCTCATCCAAGGTCAAGGACTGCAGAACTGGAATGACAGCCTTGGAGAAAGGCTGCCAGATTTAATAAATCTGCCTCAAAGCCGACCTTTCTTCTCTGGGCACTGCTTGGAATTTAGCAGCGGGCCGAGGGGAGCTGCAGACACAAAGAGAATGGCAACGTCATGGTGGTTGGTGTGGTTTTCCATGCAAATTTTGGAGTCTCAGGAAAAAAAAAGGAAGAGCAAGAAGCACAAGACTGGGTTATGAAACTATTAAAGAAGTCTTAGTGCAGATTAGCATGCTCTGGTCTACAAAAGCATCCCAACAGGGTTCAAACTGCAGTGTGTATGGGTGCTATGAAAAGGCAGCTGCTTAGGAGAGAGAGAATGGCTTCAGTGCATCTCTTAAGTCTTTGAACTCCAGGACCTCTTGAGATAAACAGGCTAAATTAAGCAGCAAAACATTCCAGGCTCCCTAGCAAAGCCCCCTCCGTTTCAGAGCAGCCCTTGCAAAGCAAGGCATCTACATCTACCGATGGCCACAGGACATCGAACCATTTTACAGTGACTCCAAGTGGCCTCCAAGGATTTAAATGCAAAATGGCTGGTTTGCTCCAAACCTCACCTTCCTTTGGAAAAGCAGACAGCTCTTTTGTGTGTGTCTCATCTAAATAAATCTATTTAGAGCAGTGCACATAGTGAACTGGAGAGCACTGAAGAGCACAGGCTAGAAGGCAGGCATTTGATGAAATATTTATCATTCAAAACCAATGTAAAAACAACAAGAAGGGAGAAGTCACTTTTAAAAGGCTTCTTTGCAATGTGCAGGTCTGAGGAAGCACACTGGGAACAACAAAAGTCTATCTGTGAGGGGCAACAAGCAACAGGAGCAGATAAGGAGGCAGATGGAGAGCCCCTTCTTGTATGCCGCTTCCTATGGAAGGAGCAGCAGCAAACATCCAGGAGCAGTGTGAAGGACATCACCCACGTGGTCCTCACCATAGCAGGAGACCCTGTGAAGGGAGGAAGCAGGGAGATCATCTCTCTTCCACTCACTGTGTTTGGTAGGAACGTCAGAGCAGGTGAGAGGACTCCAGCAACAGCCCAAGGGCTACCTCAGGTGAGATGGAGGAGCAATGTGCGGAGGGACAGGGAGAACTGCCCTGGTGCACGCCAGGTCAGAAGGCAATGAAGAGCCTCCAAAAGAAAAGAAGGGGAAGTATTTTTGCCCACAGATGCTCCTCTGAGGTGCCACAGAGGCAAATTACTTTCTTCAGGTAAGCATTCAAAAGATACAGTCACATCTGGTAGCACTGGTGTGCAGCGGAATTCTGACCAGCTGTCAGATCCCTCTCTCATTGTGGAGCATGGGAAAAGCATGGAGCAATGGCCAGTCTGGCCACAAGGTCCTTCGCCAAGCTCCTTAAACCTGGTCTCTCCTCCCAGGGCCCTCAGAACTGATGCTCTTCTGACATAGCTTGTGCAGAAAGAGGCTTTTACCCACCTTTTACCCAGAAAGAGGTATAACAAAGATGACTCTGGGCTTTCCACTGCAGCTTTTTTCTCCTCCACCATAAAACTGATGACCTGAACTGGAAAGATTTCAATTCCTAGGGGTAGGACATCAGCAGGACACAGATCTCTTTCCGCATCTTCCCTCCTCAGAGCACCAGGGTGCGTAGGGCAACGATGGCAACCACCCAGCACCCAGAGGCAGACACGGCCCACGCGGTCCCGCACTGGCTTCTGCACCATGATACAAGGAACATAAATGAGCATTGCTTGCAACACTTTATATCTGCACCACCCATTTACTGAGCTGAAATAAGAATATCACAGCAACATCCTGTATTACAACACATTCGGTTTATTTATGAATTTATGATCTCTCAAAGACTCAATTAGCTTCAGTTTACTCATCTGTGAGATGGGTACAGGATCTTGTATCTACTTCAGAGCTACCATCAATCATCAGATAAATTATTCATCATTTTACAAGGTATCATTAGGCATGCTCTTTCATACCTGGGAATGCACATACATGCAGAAGGCTCTAGATGATCACTGTTAATGCTCAATAGCTTTCATCTCATTGATGGAGACCCAGGGAGAAATGACCTCTGCTATCCTTGTTTTATGAAGGAGCCCAAGTCTGACCATGGAATAAGGATTAGGGATTTCTCAGCACTAGCAGTCCTGTTCCTGCTCTCCTGTACTCCCCTAGCTCTCTTATAGCTCAGTTCTTCCACCTCAATTCCTGAGGTTTGATTTATTCACACCTATAAAATGCAACAAAACCATAAATATTCCTGTATGAAAGGCGCTACGAGAGGGAAAAACATCATCATGCCCAAAGCCCATGATGAGAGGTGACTTGGCTTTAACAGATTAGTCAATACAGCCTGGTGAAAAACAGACCTTCTGATGGATTTCAGTGTCTGCTCTGCCTTGAATAGCAAAAGCACTTAAGTGCTTACGCAGACTGCTGCTCCTTTCATTGACAATTTACAACCAGGGCTAGTGCCTGAAGATAGCTGGCATGAGCAGATAAACTGCCAGGGCCCTAAGATACTAAGCATCTATTATTCTCTTTCCCATTGCTTGCCAATGAGACATTGCTGATACAGAGGGTATTTTTGTCCCGTTCCCTTCGTCCCATAAATTAAAGCGAGAACACCTCTTCTGAACTGTCCATTGCTGGATCTCCTCGTTCGCTCCGTTTGGGTTTGAACACCCAATTTCCCTGCGGAAACCCAGCTTTCAGACAGCCGGAAACGTGTTGCCCAGACTTACCCCCTCGGAGCAATGCCGGGGAGGTGGCTGGGAGGCAAACCTCTGTCAAGGCCTGCCATTAGAGCTGTGGTCTCTGCTAATGAATTTGTGTTCCCTAATGAGCTGCCGGCGCCAGGCTTTGCTGCCCGCTCCGGAGGACAGCGGCTACCGGGCAATTACACAGAGGCATATTCTCCATTAATGAAATGCACCTCCTTTCCCATTGGTGCCAGAAAGTTGGGAATGAACAGGAATGTAAATGTGGGGGTTTCTTTTCCTTGTTTCCTAACTGCCTTTCGCACATATGCGGTCTGTACGGGGATGCTGCTGCCTGAAATCAGACCTAGCACAAGCAATCTTGCTACGGTAAATAAAAGACAGCTCTTTACAGAGAGCTGCTATCAAGGAGACACAAGCACGAATCTGGTGTCAGTTCAGCACACCGACCACACAGCGGGATCGAGGTCTCCCCCTTGGGCATCCCTCATTTATCCCCCGTTATCCCTCCTGGAGAAGCCAGCTCCTGGCACCAATGCTTCCCACCATCACGATTAGCTCTTTAGCTGGAGCGGCAGCACCAGGGCTAGCTGATTTTTAGAGCTAAAAATCACCTTTAGGGGGTGAGAAGAGTTTTGGGGGTGCCCAAGATGATGGATACCCACTGGACTCGAAAAATCCCTCTCTGCAAGGAGTGCCAGGAAAATCCTGGGAATCGGAAGCCTGAGCTCGCCCAAAAACCTTCTCAGTGAGGAGGTTCAAGCCCTGCTTTTGGCTGTGCTCAGAGACAGCGTCCATCTAGAACATCAGATGAATAACTTAGGATCTGGAGCTAAGCCACTTTTGTAGGACAGGTAATGGGGAGGCTGAGTGTGGCCCTCCCCTCAAAATGCCTCTAATCTAGGAATTTCAGCTCAGGAAGTGCATGGTTTGGGGTAACATTTCAGCATCTTCCTGCTCCAGACCACACGGAAGGAACCAAGAACTAAACACACACAAAAGAACACTAAAAAATGGGTTAGAGGGGAAAAAAAAAAACCCAAACAAAACCAAAACCAGGTAATCCCTTCGTGCAACTAGTTCATCTCATGCCCTCTCCCACCATCCAACCATTCCAGTGCCAGGTATTGACCCCTTCTGCCTGCCCTGGGAGCTCCCACCCCATTTGCGAGGGCTGGAGACAGGCAAAGCATCTTTCAACTTCTCATTCTCCAACAGCTTCACGTGTATAACAGCTCAAAGACCCACAGAGAGCCCAAGCCACCCAGCTAAGCACACAGCCAGCTCAAAGGGACCATGCCACCCTTTGAGAAACCACAGGGCTGCAAACTAATTCCCTTGCAGCTCATTATCCCTCACTCTGCAAATGAGCCCATTCTGAAGAGCTGGGAAGAAATTCCCATATCTCCCAGGCTTTCTTCCCAAAACACCCAGCACTGGCTCACCCCAGACATTGAGTCAGTGAAGGGGAGATGGCAATGAAGAGGAGGCTGCCAGGAGACAGCAAGCACCGACGTGGGAGGCAAAGGTTGAAGCAATGCTGGTGGTGGGAAAAGTAGCACAGAGAATGGGATCAGGTTTGGAATTTTTGGTAAATGTCAAAACTGCTTGAAAAAGGAAAAGTCTCTGGACTTGCAGGAGGTTGAGGAGAGGGGCCCGCAGGTTTGACAGCCCACTTACACCATCTAAATCCCCCTGGCTGCCATAAGAAGGAGCTTTATCTGCCCATCCGAGGCGGTGGCCAAGGAACCAGCCAGGGTATCAGTGACATCCGTTGCCATGGGAACGCTATTACCAGGAAACGTGGCTCAAGGTGGAGAGGAAACCCCAGAGATTCATTAGCAACAGGTTCCCATGGCAACCGCTCCAAACTCATTAATAATTCTCCCTTCCCTTCCTGTTCCCCCCCAAAAAAAATCCCCACCAAACTTCTTGCTGCGCGTGGGTGTGAAAATCCACCGGGAAGGCTGATCAAAAGGAGGGGAAGATGTGCCCATGCATGAGCGGCAGCACGGGGCTGTGCCCCCCCCCACCAGCTCCCCATCACCCTGCTCCAGAACTTGCCTTTTAAATCCATGATATAAAATAGAAGCAAGTGGTGAGGGTGGATGCACCCCATCTGCAGGGCAGCGTCGTGCTAAGGGATATGCTGTGACCTGAAAGCTGCTGCAAAGGGTAAGAAGAAGACTTCTCCATTCAAAGCAAAGGGCAGGAGCAATGTGGCTCCTGTTCAGAGGGTGTTTTCCACCCCCTGCCCGCCCCGATGGGTGCTGCCATCTCCCCTCTTCCCATTCCCTGCCACGCAGATCCACTTTCTACTTGCTAAATTTGCTCGCCCTGGATTCGAGACCGTGATTCTCTTCATGTCCTAAAAACACAGCTGGGCTGCAAAAGGTGTTACTACACAAGAGAGGAGCAGAAGGTGGAAAATATGGGCAAAGTCAGAGCAGGGAGAACGAGACCCAAACTCCAGCACTGCTCCCTCCCTCCTGGCTTTCCCAGGAAACACAACATGCCTGCTCCTGAAAGTCACCTGTCTGGGCAGAGAACTTTCACAGCGCTGCCAGGGAATCTCGCTGTATTCCATGCATCCCGGTTCAGGTGACAGTGAGACAAGCGAGCGTGAGTCTGACCTGGGAGAGGACAGGGAATGAGATGCAAACATTGAGAGGGCTTCGATAAAAAATGAGTACATCTCTTTCTTCTCTGCTGGAACAGCAAATTTACTGCAAATGAGCAAACACCTGTAGTGCGATGCTGCTGGGAACTGCGAGAGGGAAATGGTAAATGGACCAGAAAGAGCATCCCCTATGAGCACCTGCAGAATACACCCCATGGGGCTGGGCAGCATTAAGGAACCCGGGTCTCCTTAATAAACATTTCCTTTTTGCCAGCTGAGTGGAGCTTTTCTTCCTTTACATCTGTTCCCCTTTTGTGGGGCAACAAAAGTCGAAGGGACAGCAATATCTGATCTCTAAAGTACAAATGTCCCTGGGAGGTGATGTCCTTTTATGCTCTAGTGCCTCTTTCAGTCCCCAAAACCCCAGGCAGACTTCAACACATGGAGATTGTCCTGAACTCACAACCCAGCTCATAACACAGGGTGGGAAAAGTATTTGCCTCGCTTGGTTTTGCTGCTATTCCGCATGTGTTTTCTCAAAAGGAGAGCTCTAGCACCTCAAAAACTATTCCAAATCCACACTTCAAACCAGACCTAATATCAAACCTGTTCTTTTTTTCCTATGGATTTCAATGAGACTGCTTACAGGACAATTAGGTAGTGTTTGTAGTATTAAGTGCTCTGGAGCACTTCTGTAACAATAGCTATTCCTCTCAGAGCCAAATAATACTGAATTAACTGTAATAATAGTATAATAACTCAACAAGCCCAGGGGGAGAACGTATGGCTTCTCTTTCTTCAGGTTTGCTTGCTTTACATAAATGAGATACAATCTCTTCTGATAAACTAATAGAAATACCAAACAAATCAAACCATCTCCATGGGTTTTATCCGCTGCAGTTACAATAAAAAGTCTCAGGCAATATTAACCAAATACATTTCACATGCAAATATGAGATCCTAGCCTACGGCTGTCACACTTCCAGGAGAGGGTTGATTTCCTGTACCTCCAGCCTAATCTCCCAGCTGGATGCCAAACACTAAAACTGACATTTTGGCTGAAAGAGATTCAGATAGTACAGATTAACACATCTTGGATAATAACATATTACATATATATATATAAACACACACATATGAGTTCTTCTGTTTATACCCATGGCAAACTGTGTCCACCAGATTAGACTGCTGATATAAGACAGAAATCTGATTAAAATCAATAAATATTCAGCTCTATGCTGCACCTCTCTATGTGTTAATGTTAGGGCAATGCTCCCTAACTTTTCCCCCTGCAGCATCTCCTCTGGACCAGGAGACCCCTCTTGGGAACACCCGTGCTGCAGCAGTGGAAATATATCTAACGCAGATCTGTTACAAGGTTCCTAAATTACAAATACAATCCTATAGCATCTTAAAATTCTCTCAACAGCAACAGCCACAAACAGATTAACTGAATAATGATATATTCATCATGCAGAAGTAGCCCCGAGCACACGACAGAACAGATCCCATCACACTAGGTGTTGCACAGAGTAGAAAGACAGCCCTTTGTCCAAAGAGCTCCCAACCTAAAATGACTTGTTCTTTCAATTTTAATAAATCTACCCCCCTGATATCATAAAAGCTGGCATCAGAACTGGCTTTCCTTGTAGCAATTAAACGACAAAGGCAAGAAGCTACTTCATAACCTCTCTTTATTGTAACTGCTTGGGATGCAGTTAAAGTTCATGGTAGCAAAGGGACTGAAAAGAGAGAGACAGCAGTCAGCAAATTACCTAGGTGCCAACAGGAAAGCCTTCACCTCTATACATTCTCAAGTCTGACTTGCTTTTAATTCAGTCTGACCAGGATGGAGTCATGTGATGGGTCAAAAATACATATACTTGTTAGAATGCACTTTGGATCGAAGGAGCGAAGGTCAGGGAATATGCTTCATTATTCACCATAATAAGACTGTGAGACTTGTAGAAGAAAGATATTAATAGTGCTCAAGAGGGAATTGCTTGGCTCACTGCTGTGGATGGTCCAGCTGCACTGCATGAAGGCAGGACTGCAACAACAGGCACAGGCTGCGGGTGCTCAGGGCCACCCAACATCACAAGGGATGCTCTGCAGTGCAAGAAGGCCCTGGTACCCGGTGGGACTGGACTTGCAGCATCCTTGTCAGGAAGCCCTGATCCCTCACAGGGAAACCATGAAATATGAAACACCCCATTGCTATAAGTCCTGGAGACGACTGTCCCTCTCTCTCCTGTCATGCATTCAATGACAACCAGCAATGACCCTTCAGGCCTTAAGGACATTGTTTAGAAGGCAAAAGAGAGAGGTGAAATACTGTCAATCGAGTCTCTGCATCTCTCTCAGCTCCAATGTGCATGTGCTCTTGGTGCACACAATGAGTAGCACCTATGAGAACATGTCCTTCAGGAAAAACTGAGGTGTAGAATTGCAAGTTGGCTTTAGAGACATCTATGGCTTCAACCTAAAGCATTACTTCAATACTGCTGTTTAATTGTCTTAACAACTGGAATTGAAAACAACTTAATCTGGGTAGGATTAGACTAAGGATCTTAAATGCTACTTGTTCTGTTCTATTAAACACTGCTGTTGGGTTAATGGAGGTCTTTAGAAGTTGTGGTATTGTAACGCTGCCATGGCCCTGAAGAGCTAAGCTTTCCACGATATCTATGCTGCAATTGCCTCCACTTGCAGACTTCAAATCCTGGTCGACTTGTCCTCTTCAGATGCTCCCTCAAAGGTAGAATGTGAGATGGTTTAGCCCACCAATAGGCCACCTTGCACCATTTCTGCCCAAGCTGTGTTTTTTCCTATAAAGACTTCCATTTCAACACCACCATTCTGGTACCCATCAGCACAGCCAAAATTCACTTTAAATAAGCTGTTTTAAGTCTTTGTATGAAACAGTAATTCCTTTCCTCAAGGACAGTATTTTATCTGCTGCATAATGAGATGAAGAAATCCCATCAGACTAAAGCAAGAGTTAAAAGCGCTGCAAAGGACTGCTCCAGGTTCCCCAAAATCACTCTGAATCTCTACAGTGTAGCTTCAGGAGGTGGTTTCATCTTTCAGCATACAAAAGCCCTGCAGGCCTCTTTCAGTATATAAATGGCCTAAAAACATAGGGAAAGCTACGTCCCTCCTGAGCTCCCACGTGTCTGACTTCATTAGTGATCTTCTAAGGAAGGTTTTCCAGAGCACCAAAACAATGGGAAATAAGCGTGGGGAGATGAGGGAAGACAAGGACTCCTCTATATGCAAAGACTGCTTCAGGGAAGGACCCTTCAAACTGTATCATTACCTTTAAGATGGTTTTAAACGTGAAGAAGTCCAAGTATTTCCCTTTCTCTTTGCGCAAAGCCACGGGTATGTGCCACAGCCTCAGCTCGGCATCTGCCTGGCACAAGGAAGCAAACACGGTCCTGAAATCATTCAGAAGTGGGCTACGGATCTCTTAAAACACTCTTTCTACGGAACAGCAGTAATGACAACATGAGCCAAAACCTCTTCTGTCAGAGACCCCGAGGTGCTCAGCTCAAGCCCCTCTCTACCCCATTTCCAGCTGCCCTGAACTTCTGTACATCAGTTCCTGCAGACATCAAGGTGCTCCATGACCCTCAATTAAACCAGAGGCCAACCAGTCCTGAGTGGCTGAAGCAGGCACCTAAAATTCATTCACTCCTATTCAAACTTCTGGCTTTCAAAAGCCTTAAGTGTGCAAAACCAGCGCAAATGCAGCCTCCTGCAAGGTCACCACCACGTCCTCCCTGCAGCACTGGAACACCAGTAACGGGGTTACTGGAGTCAACATAGACTTCTAGTGGTCGACTTGGGCCCAATGCAGGGAATAGCCATGCAGTAGCTTCCTTCTCCTGCAATCCCTGCCATCATTCAGGAGCAGAGGTGTTCTTCTTGGGACCTGCCTGGGGAATCTTCATGCATGAGCTACAATCCCCTCGCAAGCACTGGGACAAAACCCATCAGCTTTGACTGATGATTTGAACCTGGACTTTGATTCTGAACCCAAAAGCTGGATACTGGCTTTTATCCCACTTAGCATAAAGAGAGCATTTCCCCCAACCTTGTCTTGCTTCTATGCTTGGACCACAACGCCTGCATCCACGTTTCATTCACTAAA